AGTGAATACGTTGTCCCATTAATCAATATTGTGTTAGTAAGTATAGCTTATAGTTGGGAATTGGGCTATAGAGTCATTATATTAGAGTCATTATCTCATATCGCAAAGTATTACCAAGTCTATTTAGTTAAACATCAATATACCAGCTAATACAAATGCGAATACTATATATATACAAACTTGTACTTAGAGTGGGACTTGCCTAAGCTGCTAATGATCTTGAGAAAATGAAAATATACTAAAGTAGGCCTAATGTAGACGTATACCGGCAATTGTTCCAATGTGCAACCGTACATGTAGACACTTGTGTTTGGGCAGAATCATGATATCGGGAGTATATAATTATATATAAGTGAGAGAGGCGTACGTAGAAGGTATAGAACTCGCTCGAATCATGAAAATTAAACATTCGCATGCCTTAGTTTACCTATGATTCATTACGTAAAACGTAATAAAAAAATTACAGGAAAGGGGCGTTAATTTTACTTTGTATCGCTTTGTATATATATATATATCTTTGGATCTCTCGTGCATGTACTTCTCAGTGATTGATATTGCAGTCTTCGATGTTAGCTCTACAACTATCTTAATTGCGAATTACATATCTATCAGGGCGTACAAAAGCAGAATATATTATTACCATAGTATTTGCAATATCTGACTGCAGTAAGTGAATAGAAACAATTAAACTTACGATTCATGATTCCTCCGTCTGAAATGTACAAAATCCGCCAATGTTTTCAAAGATGAGGTCACGTGATTCGCACTAGCAGACGAAAATGTTGAGGTGGCTGGCGAATGAGAACGCACTATCACACACGTGGTTAATGTAATGTACAGGTTAATGTTATGTGCATAAACAAGAACGCGAGACGTTTGCGTTTGCTTTTTGTGCTGCATATTTTATTTATCAACTTATTATGATTTGTTTGTAATTTACGCTTTGATAATGATCTCAGTAAAAAAATAACCAATCAATCAATAATTCATTCATTCAATCAATCAATCAATCAATCAATCAATCAATCAATCAATCAATCAATCAATCAATCAATCAATCAATCAATCAATCAATCAATCAATCAATCAATCAATCAATTAACCCAATTTAATAGATTCAAAACAAAGCGAATGTTCTCGTTTAGAGGTACATATTCGAAGTGAGTTCCTATGCGTATAGCCTACCTTCCACACATACCTACGCACGTACCACCACCGCACGCGTCACACACGCCACGCCACTACGCAACCGCACTTACACCCAAAACACGCATACACACCACGCGCCACAACACAACGCACACCATACACACGCACGCACACACTATACACACACCGCACGCACACACACGCCACGCCACGCCACCAAACACTCACGCCCACGAACACACACGTACACAGACACATACACGCATACATGCATACACGCGCGCCCACACGCACACACGCACGCACACACACACACACACACACCACACCACACACACACACCACACACACACTCACACACACCACACACACACACACCACACACACACACACACACACACACACACACACACCACACACACACACATGAATTCCGCTATAGCTTTGTTCATTATCCAGACGCGAGCACTAGCTAATGCAACTCCTAAATAACAAGTTAAATATCTTAGCGGAGACCTGTGTTCAGCGCAGGGCCCCAATATCTGCCATAGCTCAATATTTTGTTGACATATTTGTTGAAATTATACTTTTAAACAGGCAGAGGACATATTCCTTGCGCGCAAAATATTACTTACAAATGCCTAATCATATACCTCTGTTAAAAAATAATTAGGGAGCCCTAGCTGACACAGCTCTAATAAATTGAAATCAGCCAAATAGATGGCGACATGTCTTTCATATACGATTCAATATGTATATGCAGCATAACATGTCCAGCTTATCAAATGCTATGAAAATAGTCACTTTGCTGAATTGTCGATTTAAATTAGAGAGTATATGATCGCCAGTCACTGAATAATCATAAGCGCTGAGGCGCATTAATGTTTACGTGTAATTTAACCGGAGAGCTACGCTTAAAGTGCCTAGTCACCCCACATTTAATCGTTAAACGTGTGTAAACCTGTGTTCGCGCAGCCCAATATCTGTCAATGAAC